GAAAGGCAGGTCGACGATACTGATATCAGCCGAGGTTGACAGCAACGCTGCTGTGACAATACCTCATTCGGTGGGATTCGACTGGATACACATCAATTTTCCGTCTGAACCTCCAGTTGTATCTTACTACAAACAGAGCCGTTGTACGTGCTCGTAAGCCTCTTGGCCATTTCTATTTGTATCGAGGCCTCTGCTTCTATATAACTGTTATATCTCGGCCTCTCTTGTGTTCCGAAAAGACACTGGACATTCTCGATTGTCACATAAGTCATAACACGTGTTCATACATCATCCTGCATAGGCGGAAGCACCAGCGCCCTCCGCCCCTTGACATCCACCACTCCCTCTTTTCCGCCATACACGTACCGTACCTGCAGCACCTTGGCGGTCCCGGGCGCGGGGTCCCAGAACCCAAGCACTCCGCTCTTCCTCACGCCTGCCGGGATTACGAGACGGCCTTGACTGTCAATAAGTGCCGCCGTCGCGACTGTCACGTTTGCGACTTTTCCAGCGCTCCACAAACTGCCGCTGCCGTCCTCCAGCGCAGACTGGACGCCATACTTAGCATCTAGAATCACGAGACCGTCTATCTCACGCCGACGCTGCTGCTTGGCCTCAACAGGGCCCGTCAGAAGTGCTGCAACCTCCTCGGCCTCGGCCCGTTTCCTCGCCATGCGTGATTCAATCCTTTCTGTTGTGTTCGTCCCGGACACTTCTGCTTTTGAAGCTGGACGCTTGGTCGACACGTACTGCACGCCGGCCATGGCGAGGAAGGGCAGCAAAGCAGCCCAGAAAACAACGCCCACAGATGCCGTTGTGCCTGGCGATGAAAGAAGCAGAGGAAAACTGAACCGATGCTTGAGGCGGGACCAGTACAGCGATAGGTGGAAAGCGCGACTGCCGACGCCAACCTCAAGTCCAAGCTTAGCATGGACGCCCACGCGCCACAGATTCCGAACGGCAAGATGCCGCTCGAACATTGAGTTGGAAGCAAGCTCGATCTCGATACGGCTGTCGGTACCGGAAAACGAGCTGCCCAAGCCAGAGACATCCCGACTGTAGCGTAGGGATCCCGTGGCTGTACTCGAAGTCAATGACGCATGTGCAGACCAGGACCCGTCCTCTGGGCCGTCCGCTTCGTGGTCCAGTCCGTATATACCTCCACTGGTCAGCTGTGGATCATAGCGTCCGAGAGCTGTCAAGGGCCGCACAGAAGCCGTGGCAAATCCAAGCTCAAGTGTGGGTGTTGATACAAGAGGGAGCCCGACACTAGGATCACCCCCTTCAACCCGGTTTTGGTTCGCTGAAAGGGTGCCAATCATGTCTCCTCGCCAACCATCGCTGCCGGCACTGATATAGGCAAGGCCGTTCCCCACTGGATAGCTCAGCCCGGCGGCAGCCTGAGAGAGGGTGTGGGAGGCTATGCGTGAGGACTGCGTATTCACTTCGATGGTTAGAGTTTTCTTGCCGACAGCCACCTCATGCGAGAGACGAGTGCCTAGCCTTCGTCCCAAAGGGTCACAGTAGAACCGAACAAACGACTTCAAAACACCACCATCTGCAGTCCGGCGGAGAATGTCCTGGTGCAAATCGAGGTTGACGCCCGGGAAAAAGGCACGTGTGGCCAGACGTTGGAGCTTGGGGCTTGGTGGTCGAGGCGTGTGCAAGGGGTGGATTACGTCGGGCAGGTTAGTGGGGATGGCTACCACATCGAAAAGTCCGTAAGCTGAGCCCGACAGGGTCAGCTCCGGCGCAGGAAGGTAAATGTTCGGGGCTGCCGTCAGCTCGGTAAGCGCGCCAGTGGCTCGCGCGTGTGATGCTAATCGTCGGTCGTCGACAAGACTCATCAAGAAGCGGCCGAAGTGAGGGAGAGCAGTTGTCACTGACTGGCTGAGTGCAAAGTCGAGCGGCTGTAAGAGAACATTTCGGTTCCCTAGTTGGCGCGCACCCTGGGCCAGAGCAGAAGCATCGAGACGTAGGGTGATGGCCGATGATTCCAAGTCTCGACGCTGGGCGAGCCATTGGTGGTGTACCAGGGCGTCTTCGTAAAGCTCCTCAGAATTCTCCTTTTGGGAGTCGTCATCTGTGATCAGCCAGGCTCGCGACGTCATATCGTAACGGGCCCGTCTCGCCGGGTCGATGAGCGTCTCAAAGGCATGCTGCGCCTCGTTCAGATAGGCCGTCGCCAGAGGGCTCAAGTTCTCTGGGTAGGTGTCGTCGAGAAGCAGAGCCAGCAACGTCCAATATGCCCGTCGAATGCGGCGTGGAGTGAGCAAGGGGTCTTGAGGCAGACAGAGAAGGTCGTAATAGTCGCCCGATGGGCCACCCTCGTCGTCGTCCTCCCTGTGTTCGATGACCATCTGATCAGGCCCGTTGGCTTGATCTAGATCCAGGTTCAGACCACCAACGGCGACGAACTTATCACCGGCTACGTCACCAGCCTCGGATGCGACTGTGGCCCTCTCAAAGATGGAGGACGCATCATCGTCAAAGTCAAATTCGCTTCTCGTGGCGGCAAAATCGCCAAGGGAGAAGCGCGAGCTGACGGAGCGAAGCGCGTGGGGGTGCAGGTGGGAGGGGTAGTCATCGTAGGCCACGGATGAGCGAGCCGATGTGACACGCATCGAATGTCGGCTTCTCCGGGATGCGGTGCTGCGATTGCTGAGGCTGCCATAGTTGGGCCGATTAGGTGAGTCAGCCATGCTGCATTGGTGCAAATGCGAGGCCGGGGAAGAGAGAAAGGGGCAGGGCACAAGGAGAGACGGAAAGGTAGAGGCGGCAACGGTGACGGGGCCCGATGATGATACGTGACGATTGCAAGATGAGGGTGGGTGAGACGAAGAAGAAGCGGTCGGTTGTAGGGGCAAGGATGTGAAGATCCAGAGGTGACCTTGATCGAGGTTCGTGGCGTGTCGACCGATATGTCCAGTAAACAACGAAACGGGGGGGTCTCGTGAGACGAACGGATGGCTCTCAGGGCATCTGTTGGCTGTGCGTTGCCCCAGTTTCATCGTCGTCTCCCAGGAGAGGAGGGGGGCGAGGGTTTGTCAGGACCATCATGCCATTCTTGGTTGATGGAGCCGGGAGTATGGAGACGACAGGGATGTGCCTGGGGTGGACTCGTGATTTCCGCATCGAGTTTATTGCGAGCGGTGAAGAGAAGGTTGTCTGTCAGAAGGGGGGAGGGTTGTTTGCTGACAGTACGAGCCGGCACTTGCGTATGGCGGGCGATGTGCCTGATATTTGCCGATGAAGATGGGATGGGGAGAGGCGAAAAGGCGTCGCCTCTGGGCTTCTGCCTCTGTGCCTCTGCCTCTGTGCCTCTGTGCCTCTGTGCCTCTGTGCCTCTGCCTCTCTGACTGCTCTGACTGGGTCCATCTAGATCATGTCGGCAGGAGGGGGGGTGATGCGGGAGTGAGAAAGGGCAGAAGGGCGGAGGCCGGCTGGATGGGCAGTGGAGACGGGAGGATCGCATGGTGCAGGTGCAGGTGTAAGTAGGTAAGTAAGTGCAGGCGAAGGTGCAGAGGCAGGTGCAGGACGCAGAGTAAGCGCACCTGGAACCATGATACCTACCTCTCTCAGCTGGGCTGCTGCGGCATCACACGTCCCTTGCTCAGCCCTGCCATAGGGCAACATGCCGAAGCGCCAATGTGTGTGACGTCAGGGATAGTATGAGCAAGGAGATGAGCGATGGCTCCATCCCGGATCGAGCAAAGACAGACGAAGGAATCATTCTCCTGTGCCTCTCCCAGGATCGAGTCTAATGTCGACTGAACTTCTGGAAGCCCGAAGCTGTCCTGGGGGCTCGTACCTGAATGGGTTGTGACTGGTCCAACCGCCCCTGCCAGCTGAACGACAGGTCTTGGCAGTTTCTCGGAACTTGAGCCAATCCCATGCTCGGAAAGCCATCTTACAGGTGCAACTGCGCTACTGCCCTGGCACCTCCTCCAACGTTGCCCGAGTCGAGGGGAGGTGCCTTCTTGCCTTCTATAGGGGAGGGGGTACTGCCTACTACCTACTACCACCTTAGTTAGCACTGGATCAGTAGCCTGTCAGTTGACCCTGGTGCATCGACACAACCGCTTCCAAGCACGTCCGTCACCCGTCATTCAACTCCACCCGGTGATGTCTCATCACTGCCTAAGATACCTGACCTACCTCACCTACCTACCCTGGACCGAAATCACCACCAACACATCTGGCTGTCCAGCCCTCCAGTCATGGAACCAGGACGGACGATCGTCAGCAACACCCACCCCTCCCTTCCCACCCCTTTCCACATCTCTTCAACCGCAGCCGCCAGTCTACCTTATATGGCAAACCCCCACTCACTCAAGCGCATCCCAACAGGGCAACTTGACCGCGTCTGGTCCTTGGCTTGGCGGTGGTTGTTTGGAACCGAAGCTTGTCCGTGATACAGTTTTCTGGGCCGGCCACGGGATTCCCAGCTTCTGGCGCGCTTGGTGCGGGCCGCAGACCACAGACTGCCATGGAATGAAATGGAGTCCTTCCGGCATATGCCTTCCCATCCTCCCACACCTGGCCCATACCTCCTACGTATGTGCGACCTACCTAAATGGTGGGCCGCAGCCGCCGAAGAGACGAGCACAGCCTGCGATGACCTAGGGCCAGCCCAGTCTCTCAACCGGTGAACATCAGGGGGTCGGTATGGAACCCTCTTTCTCGCCAGTTCCGGTTGATGCCCTCTGAATCTGTTTCTCCCGACTCCCAAGTCCGTGGATACCCCGGGTCAAGATGCTGACTCTTGGCCTCCCCGAGTACCACATAAAGGACTCTGACGCCAGCCGGTACCTGACAAATTCCTGCTGCCCTCGAGGCTTTTCCGAGTTGTTCGGACGGCCCCTCAAAACCCTCCCCCCCCATCCCCCGGATTTGACTGGTCTCACTCAGCCCTATGACTTGACTTTGGGCTTTGCCTCATACCCTGCAAGAGGCACGACTCCTGCTCGAGCATACACAACGCCTCTTCAACCCTGATCATGTCGCTATCTTTTCCATCAGAGTCCTCGTCAGAACAATCTTCTACCAGAGCACCACAGGCGTGTGGCACTTGCAAAAGGCAGAAGCGGAAATGCGACAAGGCCTTGCCGTCGTGCGGCCTCTGTGTACGCATGCGCAGGCACTGCGACTACACAGACGCCGTACCCGCTCCGACCCCCGAAGACTTTGCTGCTCTTCAGTTGAAGTTGCAAGAGCTCGAGACTCGCCTGAATACCAATAGCTCGGGCTCTGTGGCAAGTCTTGGAGGATCGCCACCACCCAACGCTGTCCCAAACTATGTTCAAGCCGACTTTTCGTGGCAACCACCCGTTTCAGTCCAGTTTCCAGCGAGTCTCTTCCTCGACTTGTCCACTTGGAAGCGGATGAGAAGAGTCGTGCCAAAGCCCGTAGTCGAGATACCCGAGGTATGCTAGCACGTCAGGAGTATGGCCAGCATAGTCCGGCTGAGTGAATCCGTCGATATGCTGATCCCTGGACAGGAAGTTCTCGCGCAGCTAGGCGAGCCCGCCGAGATTCAGCAAGCCATCAACGAATATTTTGTTACAATACATCTCTGGCTGCCTATCATCTCGAAAAGTCGTATGCAGAACGGCCACTCCCTTCTGGAAGGGGGTTCGGACCTAGCGATGCTATTCCTAGCCGTGAAGCTTGTGACCACAGTTCCAATACCCTCCGTCGCCGCTGCCGATCACTACATCTATCTGACGGCAAAGCGATTTGTTCTGTCACTTCAACACGGCGGTATCCCCTCAATCATGGTTCTACAATCAATGGTCCTCATAGCTATCTATGAGTACAGTCATGGCATCTATCCTGCGGCATGGACAACAATAGGGGGCTGCGCTCGGTATGCCGACTTTCTAGGGTTGCCCGACGTTCATGAGAGCTCGATACTCCTCAACAGCGCCGTGCGTTCCCCCGCTCAACCAACGCTTGATCCCCCCTGACATGGGTTCTAACTTGGTGCGTAGACAACATGGGTCGAGCTCGAAGAGCGTAGACGGACCTGGTGGGCGATTGTGGTTCTTGACCGAATCGTCTGCCTCGGAAACCAGAAGAAGTGTATCCTTCCTGATCCGCCCGAACACGAAATCTTGCCAGCAAATGATCGAATATGGGTATGTAACGCAATATTGTCTGCAAGTCGGTTCGTTCAAAGCGTACTGATTTTATCTGCAGGACGACGACAGTCCTTCGTTGGTCACGCAACGCACAGTCGCATCCCTGTTTACTGGAGATCCCAGCCCCTTCTCACGGCTTTGCGAAGCTGCAACGCTCGCATCTCGCGTTCTAGCGCACGTTCGTTTGATGCCAACATCTCAGGAAAACACAGATCAGCCGCTCTTAGCTAGTGCCGCTATGTCATTATTGGACACCCTCTTGCATGCATCGTCGGTGGTGGACGGGGAAGCAAATGCTAGCCGGCAAGGCTACTCGCTGCCTACATATCACACTGACCCTTTCTTGGCTTCGACAAGCTGGAATCCTTACTTGGCCCCGCAAGCCGTACTCCTATCTGCAACGTTGTTGCTACAGGAGACGTACAGTTGGCCACCCCCATATCCTCCCTCCTCAACACAGGAGGCAAATCTACGACACAGAGCACTCCGAGGCCTGCAGACAACTAGTCGACAGGTCATCAGTCTACTGAGTCGAGATGTATTTTCCCAACTTTTACATCCATCCCCGGCTCCGGTTTCAACAGTCCGTCTGGAGCTGGGACTTGACACTGACCACGCTTTGCTCGACAGCAGCGGCTCGATTCTTCGTCGTGTGAGTCCCTTGATACTTGACGCGCTGTACTCCGCTGGAAACCACTTCTCATGGCTGGCTCAAGAAGAGCACAGCGTGGTGGTGGACGCTTCAACAATCGCGAAAGAGGGTCTCGCCAGCATCAATCAAAGATGGAGAGTGGCTGGTGAGTATCTGCATATGCTCGAGCAAGATTGGCAGGGTCCATGAATAATGGACTGCAAAAAGAAGAGGCAGGTCCTCGATCTTTGAACCCGATACTGTACACACAACCTGTATAAACCCTAGAATTTGATCTCTCTCCCGACATTCGAGATCTTTTCCTTCGTCAAAGACTCACTTCCCATTCCTCGTCTCTCAATTTCCACCTCTCACCTCGACCGAAATCGCTCCGGTCTTGCGACTATGCCATTGCACCTATGTGTGCGCCTGAGCGGCGATACTGCTGCGGCACGGCCACCTCGTGCGCATTCAGGGGCATAGGGGAATGCTGCTCTCGAGGGTCCATATGAACATGCAAGACCCCGTTATGCTGTGTGCTCAGCGGTGTTGACACCTGCTGAGGGGAGTAGATCTGACCATGATGCGCCTGAGGCTGGTTTTGCTGGTGCTGTTGAGTGCTGCTGTGCGTTCCGTCTTGCTGCGCGTATGGCGGAGCGCTGCGCGCGGTGGCTGTGTGGACAGGCTGGTAAGCGGCCTGGATGGTGTTCTTTTCGTCGGCGATGGTGTTGCGAGTGCCGGGCAAGTTCTGCGGGGTGCAGTGCAGACCGGCTTTGCGGTGACGATGCAGCACTGTACTGTGGATAGCAAGTGATGTAACAAATAGGGCGCTATGTCCTAGGTTTCAGCAACAGCCCATCACATCAGGAGCACGACGAGGAATTAGAAAACAAGGAAGAGGGGAGAAGAAGAGGACGAAATGCAAGGAGAAACTCACAACTGCAACCCGCCGATCGCAGACGCGGCCGCCATACAGGCGGCAAATACAAAGTACAGACCCGTCGGCTCGGACGAGTAACAGCCGTAGACATCGCAGTAGGCGGTGTCGCTCAAGACAAAGGCGGCCTGGGAGGCGAGGAGGGCGAATGCGCAGAGCCAGAAGACGACTAGGAAGATGTCAAGGGCGAGGACGCCCCAGTAGTTGTAGATACGGGGTAGAGAGTACTCGGCGACGACGAGCCAGACGGTGACGATGAGGGTGGCGACGGCGACGAAGAGCATGAGGCAGTTACCCGAAATCGGCCAGAGGTAGGCACCGAAGGCGCAGAGGCCGAGGGCGATGAGGCCGAGGGCAAGCTGGACAACACGCAGGGCGATGAAGCCGCGGGGATAGGCGGGTATGAGCTCACGGCCTGCAAGGCGTTGGGAAGAGTGCTTGCTCGTGTGGGAGTCTGCCATAGTGACGAGGAGGGGGTTTGAATGCTTTCGGTTGTGTTTTGATTTGCCTACTGATGGTTGCTGCGAGAAGACAAGCGAGACGACGACAACTCAGCGGTAGTAGCCTTCCAAGATCATCTAGGGATTCGTGAGTGTCTATCACAAAGCAGAATAAAGAGACAAGAGATGTCTGGGGCATTGAAGCTGCTTCTGGAGCGGTGCTCATGCTATGTACTGTCTCTATGCATCGTCTTCGACAGCTGATAATGAGGCGCCTTCGTAAAACCACAAGGTGACCCGGTCCGGCGCAACTCCCACAACTCAGCTCGATAAGCAATTTTCTCATGAGAACCCTACAAACTAGTCCTCCAAGCCATGATCTACCCCGTGTTAAAAAGCGGCGTCGCTATCTGCCTTGTCGTGAACCGTGGCTGTTCGAGATCGCGGATTAACAGCCGGAGGGCGCCTTTCAGAGCCAATAGAGGCGCTGCGAATTGGCAGCTACTGTGCTGTGAAGCAGAGGAAGTGTGTATTGTCACATCCTGCTGGCGTTGTGGCACTATGTGTCCCCCAAAAGCTCATCAAAGAGCAAGTTGGTGCCGCGATGGGGCTGAATGTGGCCATCAGATTCAAAGCTCAGAGGACGAGTGTTTTTTCTTTTCTGTGGCAGAAGCACGAAGGGCTGAAGGCTGGCGCTGCATACATGATTACACACTCCCCCCTCTCCTTCCCCCCGTATTTCACTTTGTGCTCCAGGCGTCATACTTGTTGAAGGCCATTCTCAAGGCACTGGAATTTGGAGCCTATTTCTGGCGTGTATCGTCCGATATGCGCAAGTGCCGCGGTATACAGGGAAAGAGATATCAAAGGAGAGCGAACAAGACAATACCACTCGGTCACGACCGAGCGGACGGCTGCCCCAGACACCGTCTGTGCAACACACTCACACTCACGCAGACACCTTCAGGCACCTTACATTGCTGTGTCCCAGCTGAGCCGCTGTTGTCATTGGGACTGAAGCCCACTCCACGGCGGCTTCCCTAGCTCGAGTCAATAGCGTCAAGCCTCACCGTACGGGGTTGGCTGATGTTTGAACATGTCTACCATGTGCCGTCTGCACTCGTGCCCTCCTTGGTAATGGTGTTTATGGCCATCATCTTCAACGCCGCCACCAGCCACACATCGCCGTCTCAACCAGGGTGGCCAGTTACGCATGGGAGGGTCTCTCTCTCATAGCCACACTCTATCTTGACGAAATGAATGTCAGAAGTGATATAGCCTTCGTCCCGTGGCCATGTAAAGTATGAACAAGTCGTCAGAGGATCCTGCACCAACAAGAAATCACAACCAATCAACCAAGGTAGTCATCTATCAGTACTTCCATTCACACCCGGGCTCATGCCTCACGGGGCTTCACTAACATTAGACAGCTCCACCCATTGCCATGCACTTCCTCCCTCCATCATCCTCCATCATGCCCGGAGTTGCTCGTCACGCATAATGCGTACATGTCCAAAGTCCCTGGCCCCTGGATATCATCTCCAGTCATCCCCGCCCTTCCACCGTAAAACGAATGTCCTTTCTGCGCTCGTACCTGCGCCTGTGATGCGAAGCGAGCGACATGGGAAATCAACGCTGGCTTTCTGCATGGAAAGCATAAAAAAAGTGTAACCCCGCGGACGTAGAGCCTCAGAATTGAAAGCCCACTCGGCTGAGCCAAGTGCGGCCATGCTTAGGGGTGGCTTTAGCCCCCTGAGTATATAATCCTAAATTCCGCTACGGCGGCAAGGAGCTTATAAGCAGTACTGAGCTTCAGCATGGAAACCCATGATTCAAAAGCTGCTTTTGATGTGATATCAAGCGTATGCCAAGTTAATGTGGCGTGAGAAGCTTGGCCGAGAATCATTATTGCGGCGGACGACAACGGCTTCTCAAGCAAAATCGTCATCAGCCCCGTTGTTCATAACGAGTCGGTCAACCCGCTGCACAAGCTCCTTGGTCTCCCGCGCAATCTCGAAGGCGATGGGCGGCAAAGTCTGCGTCCACATCCGCCAGTCCCGTTCGTTGGTTCCTGACGAAGATAGGTCGATACCCTGGTCATTGGCCTCTAGGAGGCGGTCACGGCATGTTGCCAAACGAACCGTCAAGTTGCCGTTGCCCGTGCTCTCGGTCTCGGCGACGACCTTGCTCACAACATTGGTGATGCCATCGATTTCCGACGATATTTGGGAGATAGTGGCGTCGCTTCGAATAGACCCGACCAAGTTCTGGATGTTCTGGACAAGAATAGCTGTCTGGTCCTCCAGGTAGATTTTCAGATCCTCGTAGCGGCTATCAGACTGGCCACCGTAGTTGTTGGCTGGCGCTGGTGGTTGTGCCTTGTTCATTCCCATATAGCCCATGCCGTTGCCCATGCCATTGGCTCCACGAGAAATGGGCCGGCGGCCATACGGATCAGCAGACTGGCGGGGAGAGCTGACAGGGCTGTAGGCAGATGAGTCGACGCTAGCACGGTTCGCACCCAAGCCTTGGAAAGGAGGCGGCGGCGGAAGATCTTGAGCAGAGATGGGTTGCTGCATCGAATTGGTGCGGGGAGAGAAAAATCCAGTCGAATCAACAGGCGTGATGGTGCCGTCGTCATCATCCTCGAGCTCGCCGGCAGGGGTAGCTCGGATCTTGACGGTCCGCAGAAGGTCAACGACTGCGGCGACTAGATGGGAAGCTGCGGCATCGAGTAGAGATACGGGTGAGATACCGGCGGAAGCTGCAAAGTTCTTCGACGCCGTGATCATCGCGTTTGCAGTGGACGAGACCTTGC